TTACCCCGCGAAATGTTTGTCCACTTCACCGCTCGTCTAAACTTTAAATACTTATAACTCATAAACTACTCGCCCCAAATTCAATTTTCATGTATCAAAATACTAAGAAAAATATTCTACTTTAGAATATAAAATTAAAACCCTATGTTGTCATTCAAAAAAGTAAAAAACTTAAAAAATTATAAGGATAAAAAATAATTAAAAATATAATTTTTTAATAAAGACGTTGTTTTATAAGCGACTTGAAACTATGTAAAAAAATATCTTCAAAAAAATTTACACTTTTTGAAATAATGAGTGTTGTTTGATAAAAGAATCACCCGGTATGACCATATTGATGGCTTATTATTTTTTTTTTCACTAAAATTATTAGAATTGTTAATCGTCGCAGACGAATGTCGACAATTGGCGATTGCCATAGATGATATAAAATATATTTTTTAATATGATAAATCCATAGAATTTGAATTTTCACGAACTAAGATATATATTTTTAAATATAAAAAAAATATATAACATATAACAACAAAATGTTAATGTTAATGTTAATATATAACATCCACCCGCCCGTGTTACGCTTCGATTACGCTGAACCCACTGATTTTTCCTGCCGAATTCCGCGGTTTAAATTTAAAAAATTTAATTTGTCATGCTATTCAGTAAAATGGTAGGTAGGCGTAGGTTGTAGGTAGTTGATAGTTGTTTCAAACTTTCAGACAATTGTTTCAAATTTAATTAATATCCAATACGTTTTTTCTGAGAAATATTTAGTACACGACCAATTGTTCAATGTTCCACATTCCAAAATCTATTATTTAGACATATTTAGTTTAGTACCTACTACTCTAATAGTGCTAATAGGTACCTATTCCGACTTCATATGTAGCCATCTTTTTTTCACCCACACGTTCGATATTGGTTACTACTTACTGGTCTCATTCGATTCCTTATTCCTTATAATTGGCAATTAACTGAAAGTCCATAAATAAATTTGCTAGTCCACTGTACGACCAGTGCGAATTTTTAAAGCTTAGTGGTTCATATATTATTTAATAACTTGAGTTAACCTCAACCAACATCTTACGAGTTAGGTATTTACTATTTGCATATTTCATTTCCTAGATGTGGTTGTGATGAATAAAAAAAAATTAAAGGTCACTCTAATGTGTTGAATTTCCATTTAATGATATAAAATCATTATATATGAAAAAACAATTCTGAGTGAAGACACTCTGCCAGCCTAACAAATTAATGTTAATTAATAAAAAATTGAAAATTTTAATTTTTTGTAAATACTAAATACCTACAATATAATATAGATTAGATAAAAAAAAAGTGATCGCATCTGGTGCACGGTGGTTGCAAATTATTTTAAGGTCTTACAATATTACTTGCTAATTATAAGAAATCGAATGAGATCATTTTCAAACGTATGGGTGAAATGTGGTCAGGGCTGGATTAGTTAGGCGAGCTACAGAGAAAATCTCGGTGGGCCGGTCGTGTGAGTGAAAATAAATTCATGTTTAAAATACGATTGGCCACCTATAAGCTCATAATAATTACAGATGTAATTTTGGGCCACTGAATATGTAAATGGGCCGCTTATAGAAGTGAAAATCTCGATGGCCTGATACATACCAATCCGGCCCTGAATGTAGTCTAAGTTAAGTTGGCTTACCTTTCTTTAGTTTTATTCCCAACAAGTGAAAATAATCATCAGCAAATGTTTGCCAATTATTGATGTAACAATGATACAAATATTGTAACTCTGTTAGCTTATTCAGATAGTAGGTTAAAGCACCATTTGTGTTTTAAGTCATCAGGAATGTTAGGAGCTAATAGCTCAGTTACAAGTGGATTGCGTTGATGAAAATAAAATCTTTTATTTAAGCGTCCACTTTTTTGGAGAAGAGGAATACAGAGATCATTATGTAGATTATAGAGTGTGGTTATAGATTCATAGTATATGGGGATTTGGCTGAACCCCAGAGCTGCATTCCGTAGATTCAAAAGGGTTTGAGAAGGGTTTTGTGCATTAATATTTTGCCGTTAAGGTTTAGGTGGGTGTTTGAGGTAAGTTTGTAACAAGGAATCAAAGTTGGCAATATCTATTGTTTAGGGTGAATTTTTTGTTGCATATATGAGAAGCCCATATAAATCACAGTCTACGTGGATTTATTTTTAAATAATTTTAATAAGAAATACAAACGTAAGAATATTGGGCAACAAACGCTCCAAAAATTATAATAAATCAAAAATCAAAATACAATCATAAGAACACTGATATTGATAATATTAAATAATTAATTAATTAATAAAAATAAATAATAATACACATAATACATGAATTCAGCAATACAAATTAAATACTTATTACACTTAGAAAAATAGATATTTGTATACCTAAAATATAAAATAGTGTTTTATACAGATTTATATATAGCAATTAAATACATAATGATATACCTAATGTGTTTTAAATAAAGGTTAAGTTGGAAAAATATAACTATTGCACACAATATATTATTTCTTTTAAACGTTTTATTTTGTATGACATTTTTATTTTCTCTTATAATTTAAATACAGTCTATAACAAATAAAACTTTACAATAACAATGACAAATAATATATTAATAATATTTTATTTGTTATATAGCTGTAGATATAGTAAAATTAATTTGCACTTTATGAAAATAATTAAGATACAACATTTTAATAAGTATATAGAGTCACAAAATTAAATTGTTAAGCTACAAAATGTAAGAATATTAAAATGTCAATCATGAGTTTTTATTTTACCAATCTAATATTATTAGTTTAGTTCTACACAAAAAATTTTAAATGTGTTTGCTCATTTAAATGTCTTTAAAACAAATAAGTTGGTATGTTAGTTACAATTATTAAATTTATAAATATACTGATATGACATTATTACAATTCTTATTAAGCCAGTAAAATTAATGTAAATAATATAATATGTTATTAATATTGAAATAATTGTTGCTATACTGTTTTAAGGAACTTTAATTATAAAAAATTGTATGAACAACTATTTACGGAACTTGTTAAGTCTATCAAGAAATTATAATTTAACAATATTAATTTTATTTGGTCATTATTAATGCTTTGTTTATCTATGATAATAATACGATAAATTAAGCTGAATGAATACATTCATTATTGCTTTTGATAGATATAATCAACAATATTTTGTTCAATATTACTTTTGTAAAAAATTATATAAAAAAAGTTTTTAATAAAGATTGTATTTTTTATATAGTATGTGTGTGTTTATGGATATCTGTTTATGTACTTAACTATTAACTACTCAAATTAATTATTTATAACATGTTTATAGTTTATGTAACAAAACACATTAAATTGTATTATTATTTTCAATTTTGCACATCTTTTTATTTTTAATAAACATTATTAATAGAACTTTTTTTATTTTTTTACAAATATATATTTGTACATTTGGTATGTTTTCTCTAAATTAATTCACATTCAAAATATAGTTTATCAATACAGTATACTTATTTTTCAACAATCTTTGATTAAATAAATATTAATGCTCATTTATTTATTTTTCTAATTAATATATAAAATAGTAGACTATATTATTAACATTCAATACAAAGAATAAAACATTTACAGTGATTTAAAGTATAAAATTATTTGGTAATTTTTATGTGTGTGATTTTTTATGAATTGTTTTGGACATTAACATGATATATTTATAATTCCAATAATAATAATGATAATAATAATGATAATAATAATAATAATAATAATAATAATAATAATAATAATAATAATGATAATACTAAGTAATAATGATGATCAACACAAAATGACGTATACAGGAAGTACATGCAACATTAAAAAAATATATATCTATACTCTGTTCAACTTATGAAACATGCTCGGAGGCCAAATTGTTCCCACCTCACTACACGGCAGTTCCACAGTTGGTTAAACCAGTGTAAGTAACAAAAAGGTGTTGGTTGACCACCCCCTGATAAAAATTGGTTACCGCCTAATATGTTTCTTAAGTTGAACTGAATATATACCTATAATGGACGGATATTTGTTTGCAAACTTTACTTATTTGAAAATAGTTATTTTAGATTGTTAGAAATAATGCAAATAAATATTTCAAAAACTATATAAATTTGTTTAGTCACTATTTAACCTTTAGACTACAAGTATGTTATATACTAAAATGTTGAGTACATGTAAGTTATAAAATAGTGTGTAATAATATCACAAAACCAGTCACTAAATGTACATATATTGACATTAAAAAAATTATTTTTTTTTTGTAAAGAAACAATTATATTAGATCAGATTTAAGAGATAAAAAAATATTTACTAAAAGGAAATTTGTCTATTTTCAGTCTACATATTTTGTGTGATATTGGAATGTTAAGGTTATAAACAGATTTTTATTGGATACCTATCATTTCATAAATGTTATTATGAAATTTTTTTTTCTTGAGATCAGAAGGAAATGAAAAAATGTATTAAATGATTCTGATATTGTTATCAACAGAAATTTAGAAATTTAATGATATGGAGTTTCATCATTAAAAAAATTGATTTTAAAGTTCAGTTTTAAATTGCAAGCATAAAGCAAACATTCACAAGGAAACCTTATTTTTATTTTTTTTAATGTAATTTGGGCTATGGAGTTTTGAATAGAATCGAAGTAGCATAGAGCAGTATTGAATTGAGTCTCACCCTGTAATAATAGGTTAGTTTTAATTTTTCGAATTTAACTATTTTATAAAACACACATACTAAACTACAACAATTAAACAATTGAAAACATGAAGTGGAAGACAAATTATCTAACATCATAAATAAAACTAATTATTTATCATTTAATTTATTTGGAATGCTAATGTCCTATTAATTTAACAAGCTCATCATAAGCTCATTTCTTTTTTAGACTCATAGTTAATTTCTTGAGAAACAGTAACAAGTACCTTTTATGCCTACTGGTCTGCAGTACTAGTAGACTCATTTGCTACTTGTAAAGCTAAACCTGCAGTCAAATCTACCACTTCATCTTGGTCGTCTTCTTCAGAGGTGTTAACTGTGGTAGCGGCACTATGCGCTGATTGTTGTGATCCACTAGATAACTGTGACGTTCTTGATAAAGAACCTCGCCGGGGTGCTGACATTGTGGTTCGCTGATTAGCTGGTTTTACAGTAACAATTAGGTTATGACTATTAGCTACCATCATATCTGTTACCTAGAATAATAACAAATTATAATGAATATTAATACTACCATTGATTATAAATACTATAGATCGCTCACTGGCCCATATTTGTGCGACGTGAAATATTGACGAAAAATGGATGTGGCTGTTATGGAGAGTATTAGTTTCTTATGGGCAATGACAACGCTCCATAACGGTCACATCCATTTTTCGTCAATATTTCGAGTAGCGTAAATACGAGCCAGTGAGCGATCTATAGTAAATATAATCAATGATACTACTAAAGAATATAACAGGAGCTATTGGTTGTACAATAGTATTTTTTTTCTCTAGAAAACACTACTAAGCACAGTAAAAAAGCTTAACAAGTTTGAAGTAGTGTTGATACTTTGGCACAAATAATAAACTATAATTTTTATTTCAAATTTATCTTTTATTTAAGTTACCTGGTCCAAAGTTTTTCCAGCCACTTCAATACCATTTACTTCTAAAACCTCATCATTGACAGCTAAAAGCCCAGTACTTTCTGCCAAGCCTCCTGGAACTAATCTGGAAATGAAAATACCAGGAACCTTTTCCACACCAGAAGGGCTAACTCGCACACTTGTGCCATCTCTAATATAGAAACCTAATGGCCGTTCTGAACCATGTTTAAGTAGTCGAACTCGCCGACAAGTGTCTGGAACTACGTCTACGTCTATAATCGCGGACACCTAAAATCAAAATTATTAAATACAAATTTGAAAACCCTTTACATGACAAATAATTTATTTTACCTGTCGAAAATCCTGAGGGTTTGATATCCAAAGATGTTTTGCTTTGCTAGGTGTACCACCCAAAATTGATGATATAATATTTCGAGGCCTATATGAACCATACCCATTTAATTCTTCAAGACTTTCACCTGAAATAACAATAAAATAATATTAGATTCGGATGCAATATATTAAGTATAAATTCAATTATTTAATAATCAATATGGTCTAAGCAGTCATCAGATAGCATAATGTTTCTTAAAAACTTTTATCTGGTTTCATTGATTCTGTGCACCTACACTCTTGGTCAATATCATCTTTAGGGTCCCTACTCGTCAATTTAAGAACTCCACCCCCTTTATCGTTCTCTTTTCTACTACTATCTTATTCTCTTCTATACTGTTTAATGCAGATGAGGACGAAAATGAGGACTCTAGCTTTGACTTTTGAGCAATGTTGAAATAATTATTTTAACTATACTAAACTTGTTACTTTAAAATATTTACTTGTGATTTGTTATTATTTTGGGTAAAAAAACAGTTTCTATATAAATAAAAATATATCATGTAATGAAAATACTAGAAATTAATAAAAAATGTTCTACTTAATATTTATCAATATTAAGAACTTAATATGTACTATATATATTATACAGTGTGCAGTGTATATTTTATCAAAACAAATTCATATTTCAATAAATATATGGAAAACTCTTTTAAACTAATTGATGCATAAGATATTAGATAATAGTAAAATTGAAGGACAAACCTATTCAATAGACTAATAATATAGCTAATTATTTTTTCTATATAAAATAATTTATATTGTAAAATAAATCTAAAATGATATCTACTGGAAAAACTTTTTTCCAATAATGATTTAGGTAATTATTTTATAGAACATAGAGAATTACATTGTACTAAGATTTAAGATAAATTAAAAAGGAGGTACACATAATTATTAATTTTACACACCAGATTTTTTTTTTTTTAAACACAATCTTAAAACAAACTCAATTCAGAACATTGTTTTCATAATATTATCATTTGAGATACAATGCAAGGTTCGTTATAGAATTTCAAAAAAATAATTTATAATGGCATGTAACAGGGGTAAAGTAAAAATATTCTGTAAAAATTGTTTTTTATTATATACCTAGGTACAAAATAATTTAAGCTTTATAATAGAAACTCATATTAAATATTTTTGATAAACTGATTTATTGTTTATTAGTAATCATGACAAATTATTTTGTAATTTTTTTTCGATTGTTCATGTACTATAAGCTATAAGCAAAAAAAAAAAATTTTTTTAATAAAAAACAATATTTATTAGAGTAAATTATAAGAATTGTAAAATATATTTTAAGCATGATATAATCACATATAAATAAATTTAAAATTATATCACATACTTGACAGTTAGATATTGTCTGAATTGGTTTTTATAGATTTTAATGCATTCCTCTAAGTAAAAATGCAGCCAATATAATTTTCATTTTAGATTCTGAGCGGAGCGATGTATTAGTTCAATACAATGATATGTGTTGAACTTTTTTGCCAATACATATATCGTTTACTATTCACAGTGCAATTTTAAGCTATTTATACCAAGAACTTATTCACATTGTCATACAATAAGTTAGTATAACTTATAAGTTAATACTTTATATAGATACTTATATACTTTATAGAGAAATAAATTGCCAAAAACAATTAAAATATATAACCAACTACATTTATTTTAGACAAATATATACTAACAGACCGCCTCTGCTCATTTGTTTTGCATCGTATACAATGATTTATCATTGATTTCAAATTTAATACATCAATTACAATTTACAGGACACGTCCAATGGACAAGTCAATCTTCGATGGGACGAAAATACGAAATAGGACGTTTGTCGTATAAACAATACATTTTACACGGAGGCACAAAAACACGTGGCAGTAATATTATAAAAATTGCAAAAAACCCGAGATCTTGAACTTAAAATTCGAAAACAGTTCTTGCCATCGCGTTCTTGTGTAGTTAGCCAGAAAGAAGTATAGGAATTTGTGATGCAATATCCAATATATCATATTAGATAGGCAATAGCAGATAGGCGGTTCTTAATGATTTGTCTAATAAATAACCACGGAAATTAAGTCCCAGGAAAAAATCCCCGAAAACATAACCTCGTGAAAAAATAACTATAATAAAATTGATGTGTAACCAGGTACCTAAAACACATTCATGAGATTTCACCGACAGTTTATGCACAAACACGTAAAAATAAAGTAGTTGATTTAACTTCAAATTACAATATAATTACAATATATCTTTATTCAACACCATATACATATTATAGTAATTTATATCAAACACCACAATAATACGTTGAATCAAGCAAAATTAGCTGAAATTAGAAAGTTGTAGATATTCAATACAATAATATAATACCGGTAACTGAATTAAAATAGAGTATTTTGTTTTAAAACATGAGCTCGATTCATTATGAACTGATTTTGTTGTTGTTTTTACTCCAAAATAGTGTTAAAATTAACCATTCGGTTGTGGATAATTTCTAGGAATATGTAGAGGGCTATTGGAGCACAGAAAACGCACGCGTAAAAATAAGATAAATTGGGGAGGGGTAAACCGCATGCCCCTCGGGAGTACGCCCATGGTCCTAAAACAAGTATTCACAAATAATTATAAAAACCTTAATTGGGAGCCTGCTTATGGGGGGGACTAAACGTTCTAAACGATTAAATCTTAGTTATAGTGTTAAGAAAAAAAAAAAATAATAAGTACTACCCCTGAGCCCTGGCCGCATACTTATAGTACTAAAAACGCATGAAAGTTTTTACTTTTCTTCACAAACACAGTGGGCGAAATATTGAAGTACCTACCTGCATTAGTTTACAAAATTCTTTTAGCTAATTCGTTTATTTTATCACGATATGTACATACTAGTGGCGGTTCTGGTAGTATTTTTTCGGTGAGGCAACCTATGTATCACCCCCCCCCCCCCCCATACAAAATTAGAATTCACTATAAATGTAATTTAAAAACATAAAAATAATTATAATTGTATGAATGCTAATAATATACTTGTTTCGTATAGTAAATAATATAGTAAGTGATAGATAGGTAATAAACAGAGCATTTTAAAATTTGGTAGTTCTGAAAAGGACCTTTTGAGTAGGCCAACAAAACATTTTTTGTATATAATGACTCCCACATAACCAAGAGTGTTGTTGATATAAATTTGGATTAAATGACCTACAGAATACCTTACTTAGATTCTTGTCAGGAGCCAAAGCTTACAAAATCGGAATAGGCTTACCCACTTTTAGCAAATCATTTTTATTATCAGAATGCCATCGTCGAAACGGGGTCTCCAACAACATAACTACCACGTCTGTCACTGGATACGTCATAACTCCAACAGTAATTAATTTAATATTGTTTATTACAAAAAACTGCAGCGTTATTTTAACGTAGACGTTAAGACGAACCAGAACCACCGAAAAAGTGTAAAGCCGCGTATACATGTGCGAGCCGAACCTACCGCGAACCGCTCGCGAAGTGTTCGTGGAAAAAACCGACTATCGATGGATCGGCGCGAACGGTTTGCGAGCTATTGGTTCGCGGTAGGTTCGGCTCGCACATGTATACGCGGCTTAAGACACAACTACAAAAGCGACTATTCGTACAAGACGTCAAGACAGAAATGACTAATGACAAATATAAAATTATTATCAATAGATATTACAACGGACAACGGTTAATTAGGAGTATTGGACTGTCCCGAGTCTCGATTGTAACAATAACATCTTTACTGATAAGTGATAATGTGTTTTTACGTTGAAATGCCGGCTGATATTCCTGTATACCGAGTCTATTTTTAGTACATAAGGCGATGTTAGTCGAGCCTCACAATGATCATTGCGCATGCGCAACTCTAGTTATTAATAGTCGCGTGCATTCGCGTACATACGCTTGTGTGTGTAATTCATGTACACAATAGTACATACTCTGAGGCGGAGTTGAACGGTGCCTTCTGACGTCATCGGAACATTGCCGCCGGTTGAAACACCAGCGTTTGTTTACGTAATAATTATTTCATACATTTCTTATCGGTTTATCACTATTTTTGGTAATAAATACTTAATGATAATATGATTTACCATTTAATATATAATAAATGATAATTAATTTTGTTAAACTTGGCAAAGAAGATTTTTTTCTCAAATAAAATCATAAAAACGTTAAAAATTATTATCGAAATATGTACCTATATGCTATCGGTGGGCCAAAAATTATACCTACTTTAATAGTATTTTTTACTTAAAATTGTAGGTTAGGCGGCGCCTCACTTGCCTCACCCCCAAAACCGCCACTGACTACATAGTACATAGTCACTTTAGATAGGTAGGTTAAAGCGCTAAGATAGTAAAATGTATGAATCTAGAGGTATAGGTTAGGTTAGGTTCAAATCAATCATGGGAGCGAATTAAAATTTTATTTTTATAATTAATAATCACTATTGTTCCGTATCTTGGGGTTATTTCAACGTATAGTTTCAATTCGAATTTAATTTAAAAACTCAATTTACAACACTATAAAAGTTATTCTCACTACGTTATGATATCTTAATATAATTCAGGGTGTCCCGTGAGGATATACCCGTTAGCCGTAGAGGGGGGGGGGGGCTCGCCGCCCGGATAAAAAACGTTCTTTTGCCGTTTTAACTATAAGCTAAAAAATTATTAAAAGAGATTAATGAAAATAAAATTATGAAAAGTCAAAATTTTCACAAAAAAAAACTCTATAAAATAGCTATTTTCAATTGTTTCAAAAATAAAAAATAACTTTTTTATCAAAAAATTAAATATGTGTAGTCTTTGTCTCTGTGAATCTAATAAAAAAAACAGATTTATGATATATTTATTATCTCAGGATATTATATCGCTATGGCCTATGGGTAAATCCTGGCGGAGCACCTGTATATATCATAGTTTAGCATTACAATGTATTTGTCCTCACGACCACACAATATAATTATAACTTATGTCATTTTAATTATACTGAATAGCACAGCATTTATTGAGTCCCAATTCAAATCGACGCTTAAATGTATTGGACATTAATACTACAT